AACTCCAAAGTGGGTGAGCGCGGGGTACGGTTGTCAGGCGGCCAACTCCAACGCATAGCCATTGCCCGCGTGCTCCTGCAGAACCCTAAAATCGTACTGCTGGACGAAGCAACGTCAGCAATTGACTCGTCCATCGAAGCATTGATCCAGCAGGCCTTCCGCAAACTAAGCCAAGGTCGCACCACGTTTGTAATCGCACACAGACTTAGCACGATTGCAGATGCCGACCAGATCTTGGTGGTGGAGAAGGGCGAAATCATCGAACGGGGCACACATCAGGGGCTGCTGAAGAACGAAGAAGGAAAGTACACGGAGCTGTGGAGGAAGCAGACGGCGGGGCATTTGTCAAAGGAGTCAGAAGCCAAGGATGTGAAGGAGGGTGAGCACCAGGAGGGAGGCGTGGTCATTGGCGATACCACGATTCAGGGAGAGGACCAGGCAACCACTTCTGCAACGAAGAGTGACAACGCCGGTGAAGATAACAGCGTACGACGGAAATAAGGATTAGTAGAGAGGAACAGGTGATACCATATTGTTTGTAGAAGCGTATTAGAAATCCGGCTTCATCCACGAAGCTTGTAAGATAACGAAATAGAGAAAGATCATGAACGTCTCTTTTTTTTGCTTTTTTGCATCACGTAGCCCCATGTTCTTCGGCATCAACCGCGCCCACATATGTTCAACCCAAGAAGAAAAAGCAAAGAGGCCTGCAAGACCCCAACCTCCTACTAACGTACTACTATTGTTCTTTTTTTTTTCCGTCCGCGGAACACAACACATACACACCATCTTTTCTGTTGCCTAGAATTCAGGCAATCCATCCCCAACCACCCACAACGTCCGTCTTACCCGCTACTAAATACTAACGCCTGAGTCGGGACAACAATCAACGCAAGGAGCGCCCCTCACCAAGCCTCTCTCCCACCTCAGTCGGGACGACTATGCTCCGGCGAGCTCAGCGCACGGACCAGCGCCATCAGCAACGTGGGTGCTGAAACGAGCATTGTGTGAACTTTGATCTATTTTGTGGCGTAGACGTGCTTATGTATGTGCATGGTTATACAAGGAACCGCTTTCTCCTTCCTCTTCCTTTTCCTTGTCTTACTTGTATCTCGAGTATACATATATTTCTTGTTCGCTGAAGAGGGGCTCTTTTTCGTTTTGGGCAGAGTTGCGGCTGATGCGAAGTGTCGGATACGTCACGAAACGAAATCGAACCGCTACTTGATAAGCCCCCCGACCCCCGATAGCGACCCCCCCCGCACCTTCGCACTAGTGCTAGGAACGGTAAAGTAGACGGGTTGACGTTTGGGTTGCTGCTGCCTTGAACGGGCCAGATCGACGACTTTTGGAACTACTACAGGGGTTTTTTTTATCGAGCCCAGACTTTTTTCTGTCTCCTTGCTACTGCTGTTAACGACTGCCCAATCCACGTTCTTGTTGTTGTTGTTCTAGACGACGGGTTTATTATGGCGGTGCCGAAACGTGTGCTATTGCTTACTTCGGCGGCGTATGCAGGTTTTCGGGCACGGTACAGCGTCGGATTCACGCCGTTTGCAGCGCAGAGTTATGTCAAGAATACGCTTGGGGTTTACATGGTTTTGTTCTTTGCGCAGCTTTTCTGGGGGGTGTTTGTGTATCCGTTGTTTTTGACGCCGTTGAGGAAATTGCCGACGCCTGAGGTAAGTACCTTTCTTTCTTTCTTTCTTTTTTGAATTGCTCCTCTCTAGTTGATTGGGGCGGCGGAGAATATATATGGAATATGGCATGCTGATACAATTGGATGTGATAGGACGGGCACTTTCTGCTTGGACACTATGCTAGAATCTTCAAGGAGCCGTCGGGTGAGCCGCAAAGAGATTGGATTGACAGTGTGCCGAATGATGGTGTCATCTACTATCGGTTCTTGTTCAATGACCCCAGGGTTTTGATTACGACTCCAAAGGCGCTGGGTGAGGTCTTGGCGCAAAGAAGTTATGATTTTATTAAGCCTACGAGGGTGAGGATTGGGTTGGGCAGGGTGCTTGGTGTTGGGGTTTTGCTCGCAGAGGGTGATGAGCACAAGGTATGTACTTTCCAGTGGACATCTGAGTGGCAGGCATGATGCTTGAGCGATTCCAGGACTAATCCTGAACCCATATAGCGCCAAAGGAAACTCCTCATGCCTGCATTCAACTTCCGCCACGTCAAGGACCTGTACCCGATTTTCTGGGGCAAATCCCAAGAGATGGTAAACCAGATCTCCGAGACAATCAAGAACGATCCCAGCGGGTCTTCAGTCGTTGAAATCGGATCCTGGGGTTCCCGTGCCACACTCGACATCATCGGCGTGGCTGGTTGTGGAAAGGACTTCGATGCCCTTGTAAATCCTGAAAACGAACTCTACGAGACATACCGGCAAATCTTCGCTAGCAGCCGTGGCGCGCAGCTTGTTCAGATCATCCTCGGCATGATTCCGTACAAGATCGCCATCAACTTACCACTCAAGCGAAACGACGAGATTGGAAACGCGGTCCGCACTATCAAAAGCGTAGCCAGAGATCTTATCCGCTCCAAGCGTGCCAAGTTAGAAAGCGGCGAAGCAAAGGGTCTGGATATTCTCAGTGTAGCCATGGAGTCCGGCGGCTTCAGTGACGAAGATCTGGTAAACCAACTCATGACGTTCCTCGCCGCAGGCCACGAAACCACCGCCTCAGCACTATCCTGGGCCGTCTACGTCCTCTGCAAATACCCCGATGTGCAGAAACGACTACGAAGCGAAATACATGAACAAATACCCTCGGCACTGGAAGACGGCGGCCAAGTCTCGTCGACTGAGATCGATCATCTACCGTATCTGAACGCCGTGCTACAAGAAACTATGCGTGTCTTCCCATCCGTTCCACTTACCCTGCGCGAAGCAGAACGCGATACAACGATTCAAGGGCACTTTGTCCCCGCCGGCACTACCATCGTCATTTGCCCCTGGGCCGTCAACACATCCACCCAGCTCTGGGGCCCAGACGCCCGCGAATTCAATCCTGAGCGCTGGATGCAGCCTGGTACCGCCAACACGGGTGGCGCAGAGAGCAACTACGCCATTACCACTTTCTTGCATGGACCCAGAAGTTGCATTGGTAAAGATTTTGCCAAGGCAGAATTCGCATGCTTGGTTGCCGCTTTGGTGGGTAGGTTTGAGTTTGAGTTTGAGGACCCGGATTATAAGCTGGATATTCAGGGCGGAATTACGTCGAAGCCCAAGGGTGGGCTGAGGATTAGGTTGAGGGATGTTAGGGCGTGAAGGGTTTAATGGGGAGGTGTGGGGGAGGAAGTGGAGAATGTTTTTCATGGGGCGGATATCTTTTACAGTTTTGTGTGGGAATGTGTCTGAGGAGTGGGTATAATGTTTACGTCTACTAGATGAATTACATACGTTTTGTTTGACCTTGGTTTTCTAGAAGTGGATGTTTTCAACTGGATCGAGAATTAAGCATCGAAATGACTGCCGAAGCAGCACTCAAATTTCCGGGAAAGGACCCCCTTGTTTTCACAACATACACTTATCTAGGTAATAAGTTTCCGGTTCTGACGCAGCTCAGAGATTTGATCTTGCAGGGAACCCGAGCCATTGAGCCATGTGCCTGTCCAACGCCTCAATTCCTGCACGTGATGTCACCGAAGGCACCGAGTCATTCGTAACTTGCTGGGTTATACATGTATCTTTGCAGTCTTGCAACTTGTTCTACGAGCACTTTACTGTCGTTGCTAAGTTTGAATTCGCTTTTAGCATAACGTATGTGGCAAGCGAGCGGCGTACGCTCACCCCGCCAACAGTAGCCATTTAGCGTTCACCACAACGCTCGTGTAACATCGAAACTTGGCGTGGGGCAGAATGGAGGGTGTGATTACCCGGGCAAGGTGCATGGTTGCTGCAGGTGCTACAAAAAGATAAAGCGTTGATGGCTCCCCATCGACTCCTCCTAAGCATCTATCTCCTACGATCACTACCATACCTCATCAATCCCTATAACTCCATCGTGAAATGGGTTTTCTGTCCCTTTTACTCTATCTTATATTTAAATCCCCACTTTCCCCTATGGCCATCCAACAAAACCATGTGGATGCCGCACCGAACGACTGTGCCATGTGCCTATCAAAGGACGAATTCCGCTGCACCAAGTGCCAGAGCATCAGCTACTGTTCCGAAGAATGTCAAAAAGCCGATTCACAATGCCACCAACCCCTCTGCACTAATTTCACCCAGCAAGGCGCCCGACCCTCCCCACAACATCGCCTCGGCCTCGAATTCCCAGACTCCGGCGCCGGTCCACGTTTTGTTTGGGTGCAATGTGAAATGCGATATGAAGACGATACTCTGTACCAATTTCGAAATATGAAGCCTTACTTTGACCACGCATCGGGATACACGTATCCAAGGCAGCGCATCATACGACGGAATTCGAGGCTCGATCGTCCCCTACGCAACGCTATTGAGCTTACAAGTCGAGATGGGTTTCTAGTAGATGGGTCGGTACATAACCCAGCTGTGTACTTGGCTGCATCGTTTGGAGGCCTAGGAGAAGTACCAGGGGATTGGAGAGGGCCTGTTGTTGTGATGAGAGCAAAAGGTTGTGGTGTTGATTCAAATCCTTATTTGGACATCACCATGGGTGACTTCCGTTGCGTTATGGATTACTTTTGCAATTTTGATGATTGACCGTATGAGGGCGACGCTGACTAGTGTCGCGAGGCGGAAGAATGTTATAGGGAATGTTGATCTTAGAATGGGAGTAGGATAGCTTGGAATGCGATAACTTGGGTTTCCGTGCAGTGTGTAAACCGGAAGCCCATTATGCAAGCGAGTGTAAGTAGCGTCAGTACCAAAGCAAAGTCATCAAAAACTCAGATCTAATTTTTTTTTCTAAACAATCTATAACAACATGAAGCGAGCGTGTCAGGCGTATCAAGCCCTTAAATCAAAACAAGCCATTAAAGAGCGTCCCTCCCATCTCTCGCTCCCTCAATTCCCCCAAACAAACAAAAAAGAACAAGAGGAAAACTACATCCCTCATCTGAGTCCCTCATCCCTACCACATTTCTCTAAGCACAGTAATCAGGCTTTCCAGCTCCGCCATCAACACACCTCCCACAGGGAACGCGTCCATTAATCCACACCAGAGCGTCGCCCGCACTACCGCACTTGAACAGCGACTTGTCGATCTGGTCCATGGCCGGGTACTGGCCATCGTTCCAGGTGCTGCGGAGGCACTTGCTTTGAATTTCGTTGTTTGTCCAGCCTGTTGGAAGGGGGAGATGTTAGTTCGGACGGGTTAAAGGGGGAGGGGGGTAGATGTACCGCGGGCGGACTTGAGCGTGCTGCCGCAGTAGAGTTGGTGGGTGTCGCACTTTGAGGCGGAGGCGGTAAGGGCCAGGGCGGCGAAGGCGAGGAGGGGCTTGATGGAGAGCATGATGTTTGATGGATTAGTGTTTGGAGAGTGAGGTTGGTGAGTTTAAAGTTGTTGGAAGTGGATGATGAGATGATTGAGCTGAAGATGGTTTAGATTTTTGAGATGTCACTGCTGGTTTTATATTTTCTCTTTCTCTATCTCTTGCTCGATTTCTTGAGTACGTTCATCTTCGCAGCTAAGATCATCGATACTGTGTGATGCTGGTGTTGCTACGGGATCCACAGTGTGTTCAGCTGCGGGTAATACATCGCCGCTGGCCGAAGAGTTGCGGTCTCAGAAATGTAGTTCTTTTGGGAGGTTGAAATTGAAAGAGTGGGTCGATGGTTATTGGAGTTACATTGCGCGTAAGAAGGATTTAGCAGTTGGGCGGTCACTGTACCAGCTGAAGTACCTAAGCGAGCGTTGCGGTAAGGAAACACCTGAGCGGTTATTTTGGCCGGCTGAGACAAGCTTTCTCGTTCCCCACACTTCGTTTTTACCAGGTTACAGCTCTTGTTTATCTTTGCTAAATTAATGCGAATTTCTTACATCACACCACTTTTGTATTGCAAAAATTCCCAATCGGTTTGGGGAGGTGAGCTGCACTGCCTCTAACTGCCCTGATATAGAGTGTCGTCTCTTGAATGTATTTCCTATATTATTTTAGTGCCTTGGGCATGTAGCATACATATTGATTACTCCTGCCGGTCTTTTCACAAGAAGCAGTTCTTCTGATATACTCACATTTGAGTTTTTTTTCTCTTATTGCTCTTTGAATATCTTGAAAGGGGTTCCGAATTCTAAAAACTCGACAAAAACCACATCTCCGATGTGATACTCGCAGAGAGAATATATATCTCTTTGAGATATTTCAAAGTTGAAGGTGAAGTATCACATTCTCCTTTATACACATGAATCATATCCATCACTGCACCAGTGTCCACGATAATCAAGATCTCTCCCTAGACAATTCTCCGCATACCCTCTTCACTCACAGTTCATCCTTACTACCGTTCCACCCATCCCCCACACCCCTCATCCACTGCACACCCACCAATTTCAACCCCTTCTTCGCCACCAACTCCTCAGCCCTAAAACTCCTTCGCTCCACAAACTCCTCTCCTCCAATCTCCGCCCTTTCCAGAGTCTCACCCTCTTTCTCCTCAAAAAGCAGAAACAGATAACGATGCGGGCCACTCTCGTCCTTGGGTCCAGGCGCAAGATATTGCGTCAACGTCTTCCCTTTCGAGGTAATATCCTCGGTCGGGGAAACAGTCGAAGGAATAGAAGTAATGACCCAATGGCGCCAATAAGCGAATTTCGGGTCGTCAGGTGTGGGCGCATCTGGATCAATCATCATGAAGGCATATGTTGATGCTGAGGATGAGGAGTTTGGTGTTGAAGAGATGGAAATGACGGGTTGTTCCGCGATCTGGCTGACGCGCGCGAGACTTCCCCTTTCGGGGGCAAGACCTGATGGGAATTTGACGGATAGATCGATGGTGGGGGTGAAGGAGTCTGGGATCATGGATGAAGGGAGGAGGTTTGCGCTCTTGAGCGCGTCGACGAAGGAAGTGGCGGCCATGATGATAACTTTTGATTCAAACACTTGTTGAACTGAAATTGGAATTTCTACTAAGGAGAAATGGATGACTTGTATTTATGAATTTTGCGTGGTGGTAAAAGGGATTTTGATGCGTGATTGAGGTGGGAGCGTGTGATTGGTGGATAAACCTCAACTTTGCTTGGTATTCCGCTGAGTTGTCCACTTCTGCTTGGCGTTCACTTAGAAAGGCAAAGTTTCGGTATAAGATGAGTAACAGCGAGGTGGGGGTTAAGAGAATACGTATCCTTACAAATTCTGGGCTTTCAAATATTACGTTGTGAAGAGACATGAGATGACTATGCAGCCGTCTTCATCAAGAATACTAGGACTTGAGCAAACTTTGGACAAGGGCCAGCACAAGAAACGATGTCCTGGGCGGTATATGTGATGTCGTACTATTCTTAATTGACGTTTATCACAGCTACATGCGACGTTGGATCTATTCGATATTGCGAAGTGCCAGCCTCGAGCTGTCATTTTCGGACAACTTCACTCGGATAACTCGACAACCTACCGGAGATTCGTGTCCTTTTAAATATCTTCCATTAAACGCGAAGACTACGACACTTGTTCTCATGATGCTGAGAATCAAATGAAAGAGAAGAGCTGCAGGGAAGTGGTTGACTCCAAGCTACTATCACGAAATGTACAAGGGTCAACATCGTGTCGATGAGCTGGCGAAAAGCAAGTACCAAGACTATATCTACCAGCCAGTTCTATCCAGGGTCATTAAAACATGGAGGTTGCATACATAACGTGATGGAAGAAGGTTTAGGAATGCCCGTCAGCTTTGCTATACGCGGAAACTGTTTTAATCCGCTCGTCGTATGGACATATCGTATATGCACTCCGTGTTCGCTATCCACAAAATCACGTACAAACATCATACTACTCTATTAGCATCAGCATCATCACTTACTCAGATCAACAGAGTACATCACACTGCCCTAGATTTAGCCTTACATGTCATCCGACCAGCCACATCGTTTTCGTAGAGTCGCTCGAATAGGACCATGAAACAAGTCGCTGGGCCAATATATTGTCAATCCAGCAAGGCAGTCACTCGTAAGCAGAAACACGCAATCGTTCCATCCATTCTCATCCTACCCTCACCCTCCTCGTAGGTCTACCACCCTCCTCGCCCCCGTCTCACTCCCCAACATCCACAGCCCCCTGAGCTGAGACCCGCCATCTTCCAGCCACTCAACAAACTCTTGGACAACCAACCTCAGGCTACTCATGACGCGTATCTGAGACGGAGCTGTAGGATGTCGTTGTCCCCGTCTGGCAGAAAATCCCATCGTAATTGGGCGGCATCCAAGTATCCCCAGTCCACAAGAGTGGTGCGCATAACGAGCGGATACTATTTCAAGACCAGGGCGAATCGGGTTTGGGGGCCAGATATACGGCTGGCGCCCACAACATCAGACGGGCATCCTATATTCTCGTTCCTGTATCAGGCCTCCCCCCTCCTCTACCCAGGGGTATGTGTGCACATGACGTCTGATTACCAAGATACCCGTTACACCTCCTAAACGAGCGGATATATCGCATGAAAAAATGATCAAGCCACACGGTAATCAAGTAAAGTGGAGGCTTAGCCCCTCCCCCGATGCTGCGCCTCAAACCCACCACACACAGCAATCAAGCACAAGCACAAGCACAACACACTGCTGCACGCAACACATACACACCCCCCCCCCACAAACACCGGACCACCGAACACGCTCTCATTCCCACCCAACCCAACCCAACCACCCCCCCTCCCTATCATAACGGCCCAATCACACGCACCCTTTCTGCCACGTACCTGATCCAGGCACAGCCCTGCAACACCCAACCTCCCACCCACCCATCTCACCTCGGGAAAGCTACACTACCACCAATCCCATGAGCTAAGAAAAAAACCTTTTTTTGTGGTGTGAGTGGGCATCATTCGCATTCTCAAATGTCACATTCCCAGTCGTAGCCGCGAAAGACAAGAAAAAAAAACACCTCTAGCGGCCCATTGGGCAGGGGTGCTGGGCTGCCCTTCGCTAACTAGGCGTAAAGTATTATAAACGGGTGTGTGTGTGTGTGTCTTGTCTAGCAAAGGCCTGGGTTCCTGGCCTAAGCTTTTCGCAAACACACACACACAAGAGTTACACACACGCACGGGCGTGCGTCGCGTGTAGTGTAGAAAACGGGACACGACACGCTGGCACACACACATCTCAACGGCATTCGGGCACCGGACTGGCCACCATCGGGCGTGTCTCGAACGACAAGAAAGATGACCGATGGAAGGGATGGAAAAAACTGGGTCGTTCAATATTCTGGGTGGGCTGCCCGTGGATGATGACCGGAGTGTGGGGAGAGAGAGAGAGAGACAGAGCGCAAGAGCAAGGGTGGAGTAAGTACGGTAAGTATGGGTCCTAGTCAGGGTGGGTTGGGTAACAGTTGGGTGAGATCACGATAGGGTAAGGCCTTGTTCGTTTTGTTTCCCTGTTTCAAACCTTCGGGCGGGTAAGCCAAAAAAAAAGCGGCCGGATCATTCATTTGGGGGTGAGGGAGGTGGGGACGACGGGAAGGGGAGAGAGGGTAGAGTTAGGGTGTTCGACGATCACGCCGGAGAAAGGGTGGACACGCTGGCAGTACTGGCTGGGCAGTGGAAACAAAGCAAAGTAAAGGGGGGACCGGGTTGAACAGAGCGTAGTAGTAAGTGTAATCCAAAGAGGGCCCTGGTAAGTGCGGGGAGATGAGTTGGCATGTGTGCTTGCGCAATGCTCTCCTTTGTGATGGATGAAACGGCAGGGTCGGAGACGCCCGATACACGGGGAGGGCGATCGAGACCGTCTCGGAGTTGCGGGTGCGAGCTGTGGGGAGACCGCCGATGGGGGGGGGGGGGGGGGGGGTGGGTGCGCGCGGCTTCTGGCTCAGGTACTGATATGTACATATGTATGTATGTAGTTAATAACTGGGTCCAGAAGGAAATAACCACCACACAAAGTTTCGACCGGTGAGGCTTGCCAAATGCATCATGCATGCATGCTGCACCTCTGGCATGCAGGCCTATCTTTTGTCGCATTCGCCCTTTTTGATTGTTTTAGCCGCATTTGCAAAAAGTGGGAACCCGTCAACACACACACACACAATCGGATGGGGTCGGTCAAACTCCACAAAAACCACAAATTTTTAACGCACAACATTGCCGACGCGGAAGACCAGGGCTGGATGTTGCGACTCTTTTTTTTCGTTGAGAATATTGAATATTGGAAAGTTTGCCCTTGGGGCTTGGGGCTGCGGGTGGGGGGGCCACTTTACAAACCATCTGGGAATTGTATACAGTAGCGGGTAATGTACACAGTAAGTAAGTCAGTCAGGCTTGGACCGGGGGGTTGGGCGCCGGTGGAGAGAGAGAGAGAGAGAGTTTGCTGACTTTGACACACACCCAAGGACCGAGTCTGGCATACCCTCGGTTGTTTTGGCGATGTGCGCCTGGAATATCCCAGACGGGGGTGCAGATGGCAGCGCGCAATCGAGTGACAGCTGTCCATGCACAATTTCAGTGGAGCCCAATTGTTCTGGAATCACAATCTGAATATCGATCAGTGCCAGATTGCAATCTAGATGTTGAGGGCGGGGGGGTTTGCGCGTAGCCCGATTGCGAAACGCTGTTCCCCCTCCCCGATTTCTCTTGTTCTCCTGCTCGTTTGATGTTCCTGTCTCCCAAGGACAGTAAAACTGCACACGGTATACACGGCACCCGATATACACATTCAGCTATTATACACCCGCTCCGTCCTCTGACGTATGTATGATGCCGGTAATAGCAGGCGTAGTAATCGTCGGTCTTTTTCGCGGTGGACGCGTATACGAACGGGGACGATCTCCGTAAACGTGGGTTGAGGAAAAACGGACACCTATCTCCTTTCATGCCTTCCTAAAAAAAAAGTGAGGCTCCTGATTTGCACGTTGCCAGCAATTAATGCGAACCATGCTTGTCCGTTTTTCAGAGGCCACGGCACACGCACACTGTGCATTCTTGCCACTCTCGCCGTACTATGTGACTGGCAGTAGTACGTACCCCGCAACACCAACACCATTCTGCCATCGTCACCATTGCCATTGACCCCCATTTCACCCTCCACGTAGCAATTGACGATGCGGCATTGCACTGTACGATGTCGCATAGCCATGTTGTTCCATGTTGAGACTCCTTGGCTACGAGACTCGAAGCTGACATGCGTACTGTAGTGTTGGTGGTCGTACTGGATCTGGTCCCGGTTGCCAACTTTTGGTAGCCGGAGACCCTGACGTCTGCCTTGCCCCGCATCACCAATCCTTCCGCGCCATATCCTTACCCTCGACAAGGCTCTTCAGCACCCAAAGACGTCATGGCGGCACGCTCAAGACTCGGCTGAAGCTGGTGATGATGTCGTATCTTTGCCTCTGTGTCTTGGGGCCATGAAGCCAACCACGCCGGACTCTTTACTCAGCCATCAATCACTCCACAAACCACACCATACTTTGCGAAGAAGCGCATTCAGCCTTTTTTGCACGAGGGTCTGCGTGCAGTAGCTAGCGGGTGTGCGCGCGCCCTCTGCAGGTCTTGGTATACCGGTGTGTCCAAGAAGGGTAGCGCAGAATCAAAGGCACCTCGGATGATGGAGAGGGTGTTGAGCCACGGGGCAGAAAAACGTCAGGGTCTTTTCAGCAAACCTGTTCACAGGTCGTATCGGCGCCGGCGATCAATATATTCCTGGCCACATGATAGTAGCATGGGTAGCGATAAGACAAGGGGTGTCGTGGTGCCATTGGCCATGTGTGACTCGAAGCAAAGGAAACAGCCTTCGCCTACGTCCAGAGGGAGCTGCCGAGGTGTGGTGGACGTGATAGCGTGCCAGTTGCCCATGTTTGAGTGTGTCGAGGGTCTCAGTAGATGGATGCTTGGTGCAGCGTAATCTCCCCATGGCACGCACATTCTGCCATTTCGCTGCGGGCTAGCTCCACCCGGCAATCCCTCCACGATGCACTCAATGCCCCCAAGGCCGTCATTCATCATCCGTGCTATCCTTAGTACTCAGTGGCAAAAAGGTCACCTCAGAATGGCAAGAAATATTGTCAAGTGTCGAACAATGTTGTTCCATTAATAGCTATCTAAAATAGTACATGTGTCAACAAAGTCCCAAAGCCCCGCCCTTCAGCGTCATCTAGGCGTTTCCATCCCATCATTCCAGGGTCCATCAACCCCCCCTGCATTAATCCATTACCCTCAACACCGTAAAGGTGGAGGCATCTTCCCCCGATGGTACATTCCACTCCTCCCTCGCCGTCCCAGCCAGCATGTGTACTAAGCAACGCGAAAACAAGGCGTGCAAAAACATGAGGAATCGGTCTGTGGTGGTAGTGTGGACTGCCGCGGAGCTTTTGCAGCTTCCGCCCGTCTCACACGTGCATGGAAGTCGAGCACATAGCGGCGGACGCTAGGCTCTTAGTAAGAGACTGATGGCGTAATAAGTCGTATCAATCATGAGATGGTATTTCGTAAAGCGCAAAGAGAATGCTTAGGTCGTCATTCATCGGTAGTAGCCAGACGAGCGCTGCTCGCGGATGTCCCGGTTGGTTGGCTCGCGGACTTCAACGGCGTAGTGCTTTGCGTTGCGGCGTTGCTTGGCCAGGTCCTCCTCGTAGAGGGAACCGCGCTTGGAGTTTGGCGTGTTGCTGATCTCAGAAAGTGGACGCTTTGCCTTGGTGGTGGTGGTGACGGTGTGTTGAGGCCAGTCAACAATGTCGTCGGTTCGTGGTCGGGCGGACTTGATCTTGGGCTCTTGCTCGACCTTGACAGTGTTGCTTCGTCGTGGGGGAGAGGCGGGTGGTGGTGATGAGCGGGGAGCGACGTAGTAGCTGCGGTCCATGGAGACAAAGGGCCTGCGTGATCGGTGGCGGAGGCTACGCTCAATAGCCTTGAGGAGGCTGCAGACTTCAACGTAACCGGCTGGGATCTCGACGCGGACAAGCTTGTTGTTCTCCTCCATGGTGGAGTAGGTGGCTCCAGACTTGTGGTAGATGTAGCGGGCGACATCCTGGGCCAGGCCGTGGCCGACATCACAGAGGCGCTCGTGGTTGCGGTGGACTTCGTAGGCGTTGTGGCAGTGAGCACACTTCCTGGCGTGCATCTCAAAGTGGTAGGCAGCCCAGCTCTCGGAAGTGTTTACAGGACGGCAGAATGAGATGACGGGGTCTTCGTAGAAGCCAACCACGCGTTCCTTCTTGGCCACGGCGGGCTTTGCGTGGACGGCCGTAGGCATGTTTGTGCGTGCAGACGGCATTGCCGGAGAGGATGTTGGCGGCTTCTTGAGTATGGACCTTGGGGTAGCCGTGGTGACGTTTGTGCCAAGGTACGATATGGTAGCGATGAAGTCACTCTCGGGTGAGAGCGACAATGGTATCTAGGTGTTGGGTTGTTGGCGTAGTAGACTCGGCTGGCGAGTAGAGCTGGTAGGCGGGTGGACGGATCAGAGTGCTGGTGGGTTGTTGGTAGTGGGTTTGGTATGAGGAGCCATGGTGGGCGCGGGCGGCATGGAATTATATGTCTATCCTCGCTCGCAGTAGACGCATGCCTTGGGTGTGGATGGAAGCCTGAGCTAGCCGGGGTGCCTGCGCCCATCGGACAGGGGTGGTATTAGCAGCAGCAGCGACCAGGGCCCATGGCGCGCTAGTGAGGGCGGTGACTGCACGTCTGCTTGGGTGCGAAGATGACGACTGTGCCTGTGATTTCTTGGGAACTGCAGCTAGAAACGTGTTTTGGGCCGACGTTAGAGAAAGTGAAATGTTGCAGCCAGGCAGCGCTGTGATTGGCGGCCTAGTCGCTGTGCGTGGCTGCTGCGAGCAAAGGGGGTCAGCGAGGGCATCAACAGCCGCTGCACCGTCTTCTGAAACGTGTTGCGGCGAGCAGGGCAGGACAGGTGCAGCCGTTTGGACAGAGGCTCGTCGACTGCTGTTTTTGGACGGTGGGTGGTTGTGGTGGTAGTGTAGCAGTCGGGGATGGTGGTGACGGGCGTGACGGGCGTGACAGCTGCGCCCTATGGCTTGCAGGCCCCGTCACTGCCTGTTTGTCGAGGCACCAGCCACCTCCGCCACGCCCATTCGGGTCTAGCGGGCAGATGGCTGACTGCCGGGGTACAATCACAGCCACAGCCACAGCTACTGCAGCTTGGCCAGCCTGCGTCTCAACGCACACCTTCCAGCTGTGGCTGTTTGGTTTTGTGCAAAAGAGTCGACATGTGCAAGTATGATGCGTACATCCAGCCCTCTGGCACGGTGGCCTCATGTCGCCGCGGTGCTGGTTTTCGCACACCGGACGGCGGCAGCGTCCCTCGAGCCGCCGGCTCACCACCAGCCACGACAGTGGTTGCAAAGGCAAAAAAGCAGGCGTGGCTCCCGCAGTGCCCTTCTCGACGTACCACCAGAGCCGCTCAAGGGCGGGCAGAGATGGAGCCATTGCTGCGTGTCCTGAAGGGAGTCATCAGCGCACCCTGCCATTCCCACAGCTGCCGGCGGGCGACAGCGACGTGCATGGCGCTACGCAGCCTATGGCGCCTTTGGCCTTGCTGGTCTTGTCTCACCGGATTTTTGCTGCCCCACAGTCCTTCACAATTGGGCCTCTCTGCTCACTCTCGACCTCCCGGCCTGCTGGCATGCCAAAAGCCAGACCAGAGCAGTTCGTCCGCCGGCCCACCCGGACGTGGCACCTAACGACTCTGCCTGTCACTTGTCTCCGTCAGCGACACGAAACAGCAAAAATTCCTCTGGCCCTTCTCATCCAATCACCCCCATTGTCAATTCACACTCCCTTTGTGCACACTCGCCCGCACAATTCTGCCATCCGTGACTCCTAACAGTCCAAAGCTGCCCAATTTGGCACGGGCGTAGTTCGTCTGCTTCGCCCTGTGACTCCGTCTTCTCCTTGCTCGTCGGCTCGCCCCGTACGTGAGGCGCAGCGCTCGCAGCACCCGTCCCTCCCCATCTCGACCCTGGCCAATCTTTTCAAATGACCACTCCCTCTATACGAGCTTCTAGCTGGCGTTGCAAGCCTCTTAGCGCAGCCATCCACCCACAATACCCGTTGACAGATGCATGCTAGCGAACTGCGGACCATGCGAACCACTGCGCAGCCACACAATGCAGCTAATCTACAATGCAAAATGCCATCGTGACTTGCTTTGCTGCTTCCACTAGCCCTCTTGCTCTGTAAGCACCCTCGCCCACGTCTTGGATGCATGCCCGCCGATGACCATCCGCATCCGGCTTCCGAGAATGACGCCACAGTGTGGCACCAGCAGAGCCTCCTCACATCAATCACACGCCCTAAGAGTGGACCGAGAATTCCAAACTCCAGGTCAATGGACTGATATTCGAGGCTGTGTACTTAGCACGCCGTTTCCGAGCCGTTGTCCCGGCCAAGCCCCTCAGGATAATGCCTTTTCTAGCTTTCCCCAGACATTGCATCGTCATGTGGTCCGCCAGGCAGATCTGCAGCCTCCCGAGCAGGCAGCCCTACTAAGCTTGCGCAATGTCTAGGCAGCAACTGCGCAATCCCAGCTGAACTGCGAACCCTCCCATCTCGACCGGCCATTACGCCCTTTGCCATGTACACAATAGTCGGTTGCGCCTGGGTTGATTAATCAGCAACCCTAGGGGCTAGTGAGTAGAACCAAGTGCTACTACTACCGTGGGGCGCCCTTTTCTCAACCCACATCACGTGACGCGCCATGTCCGCCCACCACCACCGCTACCACCCTTTCACTAGGTGAAGGTCCAAGTTTCTACATCAGCGGCTGTGGCGCCACCCGTGCACTTGGTGCCTGTTCAAGTCTTCTGGTTGCCTTCCCTGATTACGTTCACCTGTGCATCCCGCTCTTCTTCAACATATGTAAGCTGCGGAGCTCCTTTTGTTCACCGGTTACTTGGCCATCAGCCAAGCTACTCATCCACTGCAAACATCCAACATCAGGAGTCATCGCTCACCGTTGACCGCAAACCGCTACATCCCCCCCTAACTATGCCTGGGGGGCCTTTTGCCGGCGCTGCTTAGGGCGATGCGGGGTTGTAAGTTTACCAGCAGCCCAATAGCACGGCTTGGTTAGTCACCGGCACTGCCATGGCTGCGACAGGAGGTTTCGGTCGCAAAGCAGTCGTTGTCGTTGTCGTTGTCGCTGTCCTCATGTCGAACTGGCGGCGAACAGTCAAAGTATTTTCAGCTGTGCTTACCCGGATGGGCCCAGTTGCCACGAGGTCGGTCAGCGGCTGACTACCCCACAATCTGGCGGTCTCACCGTTTCCTTTTCCAGTTGCATCATGCTGCTGGAACCCCCATTGCACTCGACATGCCACGCACTCGGAGATTTGTTTTGCAGATCCCCAATCGCGGGTCCCAGACTGCGCGCAACTTGCAATATGGCACAACGCCTCCGAGGCCCCTAGCACCTCAACAACCACGCTCTTTTGCGAGAAAAAGCAGCGCAAATTTACTTTCTCAATCTTCATACGTCCAGATCGAATCACTCAAGGCTGAGACACCTGACCGCGCGTTTCAGCGCTCGGTAAGCCTTAGCCTGTTCCTGGGCTAGTTTGCGATCTGTGCTCTCACACCTCACACCGCTTTTCACCGAAACTTTCAGCAGCGACAGATTTTGCTTGAAATACCAGTATTCCCTTCTTCTCCTGAAATCCCTTCAAACACAACCCAACTGTCCCGGAAAAGAAGAAACATCCACCCAAAAAGAGCAAGGAAATGCCGCCACGAAGCGTCTGTTTGAACGTGTTTACGCACAGTCTTGGCGAAGGCAATGGAGCGGTGAACACCAGAAACCCCATGTTGGAACGACGAGATAGTGCAATGGGTGGTATGTTTTCCTGCCAGATACTTTCGCACGCTTCAGCGATTTCTGTTCATGTCAATATTAACATTTTTTGCCAGATATCCCAAGAAGCACGTCCAACGGCTCTCTCACACCGCAATCGGTTTCAACCTCAACCTCCCCTCCACCAGCGTTCAATCGCGCGGATCTCTTCCGCTCTCTGCGCCCCATGGCCAGCACTGAGAGTCTCAACGGCGCGCTGACCAGCAAACGTAAGTTGTTACGATCGTATATCTTCAATCTCCAATTTCCATATGGGTGGGACGCAGGAGCCCGATTTGATTCGCTGCACTGCATTAGCGCCCATGTGGTGCTCCACTTTACCCACTCACATTGGGGCCGCTTTTGAGGCCTAACACCACGACATGATTATATCACCCTTGTACCAGCAACAATTTACTAACATATGATAGCTTGCTCCACATGCTCTGGTCAGCACGCACGACGCCGCTGCTCTCGCTGCAAGGCAGCATACTACTGCGACCGCAACTGCCAAAAGTCGGACTGGAAGACGCACCGCAACATCTGCGAGCCCATCACCCAGACTTACTCTGCCCCGGAGACTCCCAACTGCTCCAACCCTGCAAGCCCGACAAACGAAGCTTGAACAAGTGTCACACCAAATCATACGGACACACTACGCCTTCTCGATAGCGACACATCTGGAAACTTCCATTGCACCAGATGCAACTTACGATGAAGACAATCAACACATACACCATGCACGTCTGAAATAAATCGACATTAAAGAAGATGGAAAGAAGACAGCAACAACCGAACTGCTACGACACTAATGATAGATAACCAACTTGCACATATGGAGGGTCGGAAAATCAGGCGTTCTTGCTAACTGTTTTTTTCTGTTTCTTGTAAAGCCTGTTACTGGGATTCCCAACGTCACATTCTAGAAAGAGCGACAAAGCATTCAATTGCAACCATGCATAGCGACGAGCGACTAGCGAAAAATATCCGGATCTTACTTTAGCCTTTTTTTTGTTTTCTTACATTTTACAACCAACCAAAAAAAATATAGAGACCTTTTTTTCCCCTAACACCACAATACTATACGACTGGCTTAGCGCCATATGATTCGGAGAATTCCCTCTAGCGAACATGCATTCTTTTTCTTCTCCTCTCATGTATGTTATGCACACATGAGACATAACAGCACAGCCACACCACGACTTCACACCTCAGGCCAGCCAGACAAACGAACCAAAAAGGCTACACTGAACGAGGTGTTCACCTTATGCGACATATGCATACCATCTTGCACATCTCCATATATGTACATGTCACATTTATGCACCCCAGTGGCAACTGACTCAGCACAAGCCCTGGCTTCACCGCTTCTCCACTTTCACCACCACTGTCACCTCCCACCACCATCTCCCCATCTTTGCTAACACTAGAGTACATCGGCACTGTTATCTATGTACGTGTCATTCCCACCTTGCCCTTCCGGTCACTTCCCACCCCCCCTCCCCCTTCACCCGCATGCTTAATGTTGCATATCCTTACGAACTCTAAATCTCAAACCAGCGCATAGCAGGACCAGGCGCCCTGGGGTGTGGGAAGGGGGAGGGGGAGGGGGGCGTTTTTTCACCAAACAAAAAAAGTCTTGGGTTGCATTAGCAAAAGCGGCAGAAAAAAAAGAGGAGTGACCAGTACCATTGTATTGGATTATAGGTACATACTGTTGCAATATTCAGCCCGCCCGACCCATGTCCACTTTCCATGTACATATGTATTATATATGCGCGTGAGACAACGCAAACAGGCAAAGTCTAGAGCGTGGTGGAGAAGTATTTTGGCTGCATGATAATGTATCAAGAGCAAGGGGGTCGCGTATGCAGAGTAAGACAAGAGGAGAAAGAGGATATGGCCTTCTGGGCAATCACGGGCAGCGCGTGGCGCGTAGGAAAGCAAGGGGGTGGAGAAGCAGGGTGGGCCGGACGGGGAAAAAAATGGCGTACATCTTGTTAGCTTGGAGAGATAGTGAAATGTCCACTGCGCTGGCAATATGATTGCTGATAATGATATGGGCCGCCCGCATATGTACATGTCTATGTAGTACATATGTACATGTCTATGTAGTACATATGTATATGTACAAAGTGGAAACCCGGACACACCTGCATGGGACATGACTTATTTGATGAGGGGGGAAAGCGTGTAGCGCTATCGTGCCCGGCCGCGATCGAAACATCGATGTCGTACTGCAAAAGCAAACGAATCACATACCCAAACCCCACTTATGCTTATATGGCGACGACGGCGCCAAATGGGGCTTCCCCGTTGAGTTTGAACGATGTCGGTTGCAACGTCTGGAACACACCCTTGGGATCGTACTTGCTCGAGACCTTGTTTAGTCTTGCCACGCTGTCACCTCCGTAGCCGGATATAACGGGCTAGTACGGGCAGCTGTACGCCATGTACATGTAATCGTTGTATGCACCCAGCTGCTTGGCTTTTACTGTCGACGCGGCCAGAAAGTCCTGTGCCGTCTTGTATATGGTCTTGTCGTCCTTCTCGTCCGTTCAGGCCAGGTAGAGCAGGACGTGGAAGAAGGGTCCATCGTCCGGGCGCAGACCCAGCGCATTGCCGCCCTTCCTCTGCATGGCCCTCAACGCGGGCTTGGTAAAAGCTTGGAAGGCGATCGAGGGGGCGCCGCCACCGGGAAACTTAGGGACGATTTCGAAAAAGTGGTTACTCATCCATTTCATTAGCTCCGTATTGACTTTGAACGATTGCGACCACATTGTTGTGCGTAAGCCGGCCGGCATGCTTTCAGTCAGCCCCAACGTAATCTCGGCCAATGTGGTATTCTTGGTGGCTTCATTAAGAGCAGGGATCGAAAGATAGTCGTTGAGAACGTCCGGTGGATTCGACACGTCAACCGGATCAAAATATTCGTACACTGCAGATGCAATCCTGTATCCCGAATTGTATGCAACGGCAACAAAGTGCGCGGCCTTTGTATCCACCTCGGCGTCCTGAACCGCGTTTCCAAAAGCGTCCAACAATGCGGGGATGTGGGTGGCGTTATATTGGCGTTTGCTAGAAAACATGAGACCTTGAGGAAAGGTTTCGTAATTGAAGGTCGTAATGACACCAAAACTGTTACCGCCGCCTCGGAGAGCCCAGTATAGGTCAGGGTACGTTTTTTCGCTGACGGTAATAATTGCTCCAGATGCGGAAACGACCTCGTATGATGCGATGTTGTCGCATACTAGGCCGTACTTGTCATTGTGGTGACTGATGCCACCGCCGAGCGTGAGACCACCTACTCCGACCGTCGAAGACTGTTGAGGTTGTCAATCACGTGATTAGCTAATATATTGAGTGACTTACGCGTCCACCAACTACTGCAAGATTGTAAGGAGTGAGGTGGTCGTAAACTTCTTTCCAGCGGTTTCCGGGACCGACAGCAACAGTTTTATTATCAGCAGATAGCACGAGCTTGTTCATTTTCACCAGATCGACCGTAATACCGCCCTCAATACTCGATGCAGGAAACGCAGCATGTCCCCCACTTTTGACCGCAAACGGACACTGCGTCAAGCGTGAAAGTAAAACTAGAGTCGACACCTCCAAGGCTGCTGTTGGAATGAATGTACAACGGGGCTTTACACTGAGCGGCTGTTGCGACCAGTATGTTGTCGGAGCTTCTTGTGATAGCTTCGAGTCTCCAAAGACGAACTTCAAAGAATCGCACTGTCGATAGTGTTAGCCAGCATCTGATGCAACGTAGTGGATCAACTCACGGCAATCGAGCAGCCTTCCAGCGAAGACCGTTCGACTAAGTTGGACAGCCCTGGCATGGCGGACACATTAAAGCCGTTGTCAATAAGTGCTTTTGTAACGTTGAAATCAGCTGGTTTAAAAACATCCTGGGCAATCGTTGCGACAGCACTTGTGGCGAAAGCAATTAGTGCGAGTTTGCGGAGATTCCTCATGGCCACAGATATCAGACAACCGACGACTAAGGTAACTCAAAATGTATGTTGAAACCTGGATTTTGGCGTGGATAAAACGGCCTTCGCATGCAGGCACCGACTCCATTTGTAAATATTGCTAGATATGCGATACGTTCCATTGCGAGTAAACCAAGAGGGTAGGTGGTTGAGACTGGCGTGGCTAGTTTATCAATCCCGTTGCCGTTACTTAAAGTTCATGTTGGTGGGAAAAAGTAGTTTTCCCGCTACCTTCGTCTGACCACCTTGAAGCATGTGTAAACGGTATGCACGTGTATTGTCCAATCAGGTATCTTCAAATTGCCACACCAAGCGGTAGAAAAGGACTCTGCATGTAAACGGAGCGATCGAGACGCTGCAAGCGAAATGTATCGTTTGGACTAGATTGGACGTAAGATGTAGTTCTTACAGGAGTGCATGTCACGACGTGGTGAACAAGCTTGGCTGCTTTGTGGACTCAGGTTACTCGTCCCCCTCTGGCTAGTTGATGATTGTGGCGCGGTCTCGTGCATGGTGGTCGTAAAAGCATTTCTGAAATTAGTGATGATTATTTTCTGCGTGTTTCCTCCTTTGTGTACGGGTGGCTGTGTGTAAGTGAAGGAATGAGGGGCAAACCGTCCTGTTGACGTGGAAAATTAATTTTGGCTAGCAACTGCTTAATCAGGAGATCCCGCGGCCCGCGGCTGGCTATCCGGGCTGGGCATCGTGACACCGCTTGCGGTAAGTGCAAAGTGTTTACCGATGTTCCGTAAAAGAGACGTAAGAAAATTGGTCACGGGATATTTTGCTACCTCGCCTACGTACTCTTCGAGCGAGCAGTGCCACCCCAATTCTTAACAATTTTTACAAGCCGACATGGTATCGAGACATCCAATCAGAGGGAGCATGCAGACTAAGCAGTTCGGCCTGTAACCGTTAGCAGATTGCTTAATATTGTTGGCAACAGAAATCTCGGACCTACAGATACCTGAATCTCCAAGAACATAACTAAGAGAACTTCCAACTCAAACAACATCCGTAAAATGACTAGTACCCATACTGAGGGAACCTCAAAGCCTTCAACCCATGCTGTGAAGATGGTTTAGATTTTGAATCACCAATTCGTATGTACTTGATATATAGCCACTTGTGCTTATTACCATAGCCGTCTTTCTTTTGATCAAGGCCACTCAGCCGATTAAGCACATTTGTTTATACTGCAGACTCGCCCTCACTCACTACCGCTTCTCCTGCACTGTTGTTGGGCCTGCCCTCTCCATCCAGTAGAGGTGCATAGCCACTAAGTAACTCCGCGTTAAGTTTGTACTTCCCGACCGAAAAAGATCTACCCTGACACTGCGGGCATGAAGTAGGATAATAGGTACCCGGCTGGAGCGCTTCGTGGATCTGCGTCATGACGAAGTAAAGGTGTATCAAACTAGAATATATCAGTCTCCCTCAATCGGTATTCAAGGTTATCTAAAAGACATACAAGTTGCAAATGAGAAAATTAGTCCCATAAGTGCCCAGCATGACCATGTCCCGGGTAGCGCCCCCATCAGGGAGGAATACCCAATCCCTGGAAATTACACAGTCAGTCAAAGCCGCTCAATTGAATGGAGCCGTTTCTTACAAGATCAGGCACACTAGCAGCGCGACGCCAAGTAGCAGGTCAAACACCAGGTGAATCGGCGTCCCAGTTAACCCACTAGCTTGGCATCCGCACTTCTTCTCGTTCGCAAGCAGCAATGCGGAGTAAGCCGAGGAGAAGAATAAAGGGAGGATGCCAATGGCGGGATTGACGCATTCGGAGAAGATGCCCTGGAGAAGCAGGATGAGGAAGCCAGGCGGGAAGGTGGCGAGCGAGATGGCACGGAGGGCGTGGTAGCTTGATTTTGTAAAGATTGTGAGGTTCAACATAGGGCCTGCCATGTCGTGAATGATTTAGAAATTCGTTGGGCCGGATAGTCGAAAGTATGGAGCGCGCGGGTGATTTGTGTATAGACTGGCTGAGAGAAGAGTCGATTTGGTTTCTAGGCGTTTACAAACTTTGAGTCCTGTTCTTTGAGAGAAAAGAGTTAAGAACTACATCAGGTGGTGCCGGAGAACTAAAGTCCTTATAATTCAATCAGGCAACCGTCATAATGTGCTGCTCACCTCGTACTTGGGCGATCGGCAGGGGGCCTTAATGGCAGTGCTGTTGGAAAAAGAGCCTGACGCTGCGGGCCGCACATTGGCAAGGCATACGCGTCACTGATAGTAGAATAATTTTCATTTTCCGAAGAGCCACGGCGGCTCAAGCGCGTGGTAGCGACGTGCTGCGGTATCTATTTACGGGTGCGGCTTGATGTTCTTTACACTTTCGGACCCCACCTCATGAGCACACCCACGTTGATCCTTGCCCTAGACCAGAAAAGCAGTCTGATATTCGCTGTAATTGTGGCTCATTAAGGCCAGAATAGGTATGCTTCACGAAAAAGGTGTGGCAAGCCTAAGCCTCGGTGAAACTCCAGTGGCGAATATAGAGAACATGGACTACCTTGCGCGAACCCATTCTTTCCAATTATTCATCCATCTTTCCTCCCATGGTACTCAATTTCGGCCCCTTCCTTGGAAAATTGGAGCATGGTTCGGTCCCTGAAACCACAGACATCTGCCAGCCCAGTGCAGGCCGCTGGTTAGAGCCGCAATCCTGTTGTTGTATATGGCCTCTTTATCGTTATTATCCGGGTACCGCATGAACATCTCGTATCCTGGAAGAACGTAGGAAAGCAAGCATCCCTTTGCCATCTTGTGTTCCATCCAGCAATCACGATACGCTTGAAAGCGTCATTTCACGCATCTCGCCCACATCAACGAGCAATTCTGGAATCCAATACCCCAAACTCTTGAAAACACAATCCTAGAAATCCCGAAATCCCTTTTTCAACCATGACCACCACCAGGTTTCTTCAACGCTCCCCCAAGGATACTCGGATCCAACATCTTAGCCTCCGGCACCTCGACCCCACACCGGACAAACATGCTCTTCCAAAGCGCACCCACGGCCCTTTCCTCCGGCATAAAAACAACAGTATTGATATACGTGCTAGTAGTATTCAAGCAATCCCCCTCATTAAAAAGCTGCGCCTCGCAATTATCCCCTTTATTCGAAAAAAATACGCCGCAGCGCGCTTCGCCCGGCAAATTGATGCAAGTTCCGTTTTTCCATTTTTCAAGCGGAGGCGGGAAGTATGACTTTTTGAGGAGTTTGCCGCGGCAGTGTTTGGGGCCGCCGGAGCCGGCGTATGTGAGGGCGAGGATGGGGATTTGCGGGGCTGGAGGGGCGACGGGTTTGGGGGCTGGAGCCCGTGATGGTGTGGGTTTGGGTGTGAGTTTAGGGCCTAGGACTCCTTCGGCGTCCCAGCTGCCGCTGCTTTGGGGTTCTGGGGTGAATCCGATTATACCTTCTTGTGTTTCGGTCATGAGGGTGGGTACTGTTTCTTTCGTTGTCGTAGTGGATACGCGCGTTTTCACCAGGGTAGTGGCAACGATTGTCGTGGTCAAAGTAGTCGAAGCGAGCGTTTTCGTCAAGACAGTGGAAATGGTCGTTTTTACTGCGGCAGTAGATAGAATGGCCATATCCAGGGTAGAGGACACGAGTGTTGCCGCAGTGTCCGTGGACTCCAACGTCATGGTCACGAGAGTCGATGCAAGCGGCAATCCAGATATAACGCTGCTCCCATTGAACACATCTCCACGATCAAACTCCGTACCATTCAGCAGCGCCTTGGCCGCCACCACATCTCCATCATCCGGAATCCTAGCAGCCTGCGCAGAGCTGATTTGTACGATCTGGGGCGATATACCGCGAATCTGGATAGCCGTCGCTAGCGACAATGCGATGAACAAAAGAAAAAAGGCCGACGACGCGATAAGAATTAAGTGCCGAGAAAACAAAGACATTGTGCCATGGAACGAAGAAAAAGCTTAAAAAAACGAGAGTCTGGGGGGATTGAGTGTAATGTTGTCGGGATGCGAGGACGTTGCCAAGCTTCCATCAGGGGTTGTTGCTGTATGGGTTTCATCCCCATGCTCGCCTCAAACGCTTTTCAACCAGACCTTCTCGATACGTATATTGGTGGCTGTACGCTAGTATAGTTTGACGATAATCTATATGTCTCCGCTTAAGATTGTTGTGGTCCAGACCAAGTGATGGAAACATCATCGATGAGCAAATCGTGAACGCATAGGAACGATCCTCAAAATGCGTGGTGAGTTTCCACAGTACTTATCAATCCAAAATATTAGAGAAAGTCGGAAAATCCTACCAACCATGTTCATCCCTACGAAGATCCATCCGCTGCCTTGTCCTTCGATTTATCTTGCGGGACTCTAATCACAATCTTTCCCTTCGCCCTTCCTGTCTTCAGCTTCTCAAAAGCCTTGGGTGCATCCTCCCACTCAAACACTGTATCCACAATCGGCTTCAACGAGCCCTTCTTAAGCCATTCGCTCATGTGCCTCAATTGCTCCGCAGACGGCTTAGCCATAATTAACTGAAAGGAACTCTTTCCGCCACCCAGGAAACCCGGCAGAAGCATATTGCTAACCAACGTCTTCGTACCACCAAGGCTAGGTTGCATCCCGACTTGCACGAATTTGCCCTTGGGGAGGAGGAAAGCAGATGACGCTTTGTACAGGTTGTCAGGCGCACCGACATTGTCTACCACGGTGCTAAAGACCTGACCTTTGGCAGACAGCGCCTCAACGATATCCGTAGTCTTGTAGTCTATAACTTCGTCTGCACCAAGGCTCTGGCAAAACTCAATGTTGGGAGTTGAGCAACTAGTGGTAACATGGCAGCCCAGCGCTTTAGCGATTTGAATGCCAAAGACGCCGGTTCCGCCTGAGCCGCCGTTGATAAAGACTTTGTCGCCGCTCTTGACATTTGGCACGAGCGCCTGGTATCTATACGGGGGTCCGTGTTAATCCATATGTATCTCATTGCGTCATTTCCTTAG